CTACAGACTCCTACAATATCAGCTATGGTCCGGAGCATTCAGAGTTGCATGGGAGTGATGGTCACACGACCACAACAACTAAGTCTCATTTTAGGGTTTCATGATACCATACTAGAAGCTAGTATGACATCTTGTAACTCTAAACTATACCACTAACTGCCTGTCGGCAGTTAATGAATATTACGAGGTTATTCCCCTGTGGCTGATGGACATCGGTCCAAATATTCATATATCAAATTTCGGTCTGCGCCTATAGATCGTAGTATATACTGAGCTACTCCAAGTTCTCAGCTAATCTCTGAAGAAACTAAGAGGCAACAATTACTAAACTGGAGTTGCTACCAGAAAGTAGACGAGGAGTGCTGGCGGACCCATTGGTGATCTGAACCCCTCGCAACCGTGCCGTGCAGCGGCAGAATATCGGTGAAACACGCCTGTACGGGTTTTTGGGCTATCACCTATGCTGTTAGTGTGGTATCCCCTAGCCCTGAGAAATATAATAATAGCTGTCTGCCGGCAGTTAATGAATATTGCGTGGTTCTTTGCTGAGGCTGATGGACTTCGGTCCAGATATTCATACATTAAATTTCAGTCTGCGCCTATAAACCTTACTATGTACTGATCTACTCCAAGTTCCAAGTTAATTTCTGAGGGAATTAAAACGCAACAATAATTAAGTCTCAGTTCAAATCTCAGGGCTTACGGCCCTCATCTTGGGACACTTATGTCTTGTCGATGGTGTGGTGTAGTCGAGAAACGCGAAGTGGACGCGAGAGTTTCCAAATCACAAGTTAAGGAAGACAGATTAGTTTGGGCATGATGTAGTGATGCAAAGGAGCGCACGGGAAGCCAAACAAGCAGTTACTGCCAGCTGTCTCTTCGGACTTGCATGTGCCGATGTCCGCCGTTGAGGTTCTTAGCCCCAGCGCGTATATGTGCATTTGCTCTGTCTGATCCTGTCCTATCGAACAAGGAAGTTTTGGAACAGATCGGAATCCTCAGAATATACGACCTGCTGATGCAACTGCAAGTGACTTAGAGCAGCCACCTCGTGAAGATGGACGATGAACGACTGTTCAGACAACTCTTCTGTGGGGATGTCGGTACGTGTGCTCGCCGATAAGGAGCTCAAACATTCCGCCAGAAGGACGCCATAAAGAACTCTTTGGAACGCTTGCAAATAAACTCCAAATCCTCGGAAGATCTCGCACAGGATCGATCGGCCTGGAGAAGATCAGTGAAGACTGGGGCAGCAATCTACCAAGCCGATCGGACAGCCGCTGCCAAAGCCAAAATGGCGGCCTGCAAGTCTCAGGCGCTCCGATCCACATGGGTAACACTCGGCCTTTTCCAACATGCTCACGCTGCCAACGAAATTCCCGAGAAGTAATTGGTCTCGTCAGGCATATCCGGACCTAGTAAAACAACCCAACAATCCCAACTGCTGCCTCCACAATCGTCCCCATTGTAACTCCTGCACCAACCGTCACAGAATCCACGACGACAATCTCCTTCACCACCGATGCCCACACTCCTGATGTCTCGCCGCTATCGATCATCCTCAACTCTTTCAACTCTGCCACAACCCCTGCGATGACGACGACTACTACCATTCCCTCCGCTCCCGCCACCGACCAAAGTACTCTCGACGCCTTGTCAACCGTTACCCTCACTACCACCACCCCCGCCTTTAGCCATGCGAACTCTGTCCCAACCTGTTCTCATCGCGTCCGCACGTTGACCTCACGATCAGCTTGGTCCGTCAGTTGGGAATCCATCGCAGCGCGGCCGGTGCACCGGTTCCAGGGACCCCCCACGTACGCTCGATGCATCTGTTGTCCGCATTGTCCACGCACACTCACCTCATGGGCCCATTCGATCACGTGCATATCCACAACAGCATAATTCGCCGCAATATCGACGCACTAAGCCTGTCTTGCACACCCAACAACTCTCCAACCCCAATCCTACCAACTTCCCGCCCACCAGTGTGACCACCATTAGCAGCATAACAACTGCAAGCTGATCAGCGTCTTCTAACGCAGCCCTCCCGCAATGCCACTGCATATTCAGCCATCTCATGGGCCTGCTCTATCACGTGCGACTCCACGAAAATCTATGGTAAGCCAGCGCAGACTAAACCGCATCACCACACATTGCCTCACCAATGCATGTACCTGACATGGACATCTTAAACACCACG